CTGCAAAGGGACTTTTCAGTTAATGTCTAGAGATTTTAAATTGTCTAGAAATGTTTTGCTTATCACAGTGGGGGAAGGGTGGTACTGACATAGCCTGGATGCTGCTAATCCTCCTAAAAACACACAATATAGTCCCCTAACAATAAAGATATATTTGCTTAAAATGTCAGTGGTGATCAATTGAGAAACACTGATGCAAACTAATTCATTAATAAATAGGAACACTAGTATGTTTTTCTGTCAAAATTATTAAAATAAATATGAGAGTAACTTATACCTGGGCCCTCCACAATAATTCATTTATTCAGACAAGTCTCTGAAATTTCCACGAAACTAGAATTTATTCTTACATCATAAATTCTGAGTCAGTTGTACTTGCAATTAACCCTTTTATGGCACCTAGCAGATCTCAAAAGGGACTTTTAAGGGTGGTGATGCTATTATGGTATGAATGCAATAAGTAATAACTAACAATGTTGAATTACAGAATGTAAATGTAAACTATGTCTGATTCTCAGCCGATTTTCTGTAGTACGTACTCTGCTGCTGCTACTGCTGCTGCTGGAAATGCAGTAGCATATTCTGAATTTTAAGCTATTCTAATTCACATGCCTGTATGGCAGCAATGCAAAGAATGATTACTCTGAACTTGACAGATAATTCGCATGGAGAAATCACTTGTCACCACCGAGATCAAAATCTTTGCATTTTTATTTATTTCACTTAGAGATCAAAAGTGATCACCTAAATTCAAAACTTTATGAATCTGTTTTCAATGCTTCTTTTAAATAGTTTGCTGCACAATATGTATGGCTGGAACTAACCTGTATTTTTTAGTCACTTGCCTAAGATTCCACTTGTTAGAATTTTTGGCCAAGTGATTTTTCTTATCTTTGCTTGCCCATTTGGTCTCCATTAAATTCTCCAATATAACCATCTTAATTCTGTCATTCTTTACCTCTGTCTAGACACCCTGTATTTTCAAATGTTTTAATTGCTCACTACTTCTTAAGTATGAATATTTTTACATCTTATTTTATGTTGACATTTTGATATCAATAATAATTCACAAAAGTATCTTAAATACATAGAACTCATTTAATATAGAAGGATGTAGCCCAAATACATATACATATACAGACACATGTCCTGCATAGAAAAGCATATACTTGTGTACCTGTACATTGGTTTACGGTCTGTTTTCAGATCCTTGAGGAAAGGCATCCTACACATTTTATATTGCAATAATGCACACTGATCTGTAGACTACCAATCCATGAATTTATAAGAAGAAAATATGCAGGAGAATTCTAGTAAGCTAAACTCAGTTTTCAGGTTTGTTAATTCAAAGATAAAAAGCTCTCTCTTCTGTGAAAAGTATAAACGGAGTCATCATGGTTGAATTACTTTGGGTCTCCTAGCACTTCATCTCAATGGTAAAGACATCTCTACAAATTAGGATTCCAACTCAGCACCGAATCACCATGGGCTTTATAGCCATTTTATCCCTCAGAGGTTAGAGATGTTAGCTCTCCCATAGAAGGAAGCTTTTAATCTATCTATTGGATAAACCTAGAGTGAATACACTCTTGCCAGAGGAGGAAAGTCTATGACTATACCAAATTTGAAAACTAGTCCTGAAACAAGAATAATTATGGCTTCTGATTCCATCCACATTACCATGCATTCTGCTCTCGAAACCACTATTGTCTGGAACTATTGGCCTTTTCCTGTTACCCTCATTCTTCTCATGTGTCTTACTTACTTTCTTTGACTTTGTTCTGATCTTCAGAGTTCTGTCCAGACTTATTTCATATTTGGAGTTGTAACTAAAAGATGCAACTCATAAATTTTCAAAATAGCAGAAACAACTCTTTGCTTTATAGTTATCACAAATGAGGAAAGGGGGCATTTCCTGGCATCATTTGCAAATCAGAAAGCACAAATGACCCTTAATTTCACTTGACAGGTAGAGAGCATATTCCCTTCTGTAGTTCTATTCATGAACTCTTGTAAAATGTGTTTGCTTTCTATTTTCCTTAAGACAGAGAGTGACATATACAACAAAATTCAAGTTCTCTATCCAAGACAATATATGTCAGCCTTTAGAGTATGAAGTAGGAATAAGAAATCTCTCAAAATTCCAGTGTATTCAATTCCTCTCTGATTTTCAAAGATGTTAATTTCATAATCAAAATGGAAAGAACTTTATAACATTCAAATGAGAAATCATTTTATTAGCCACTCAATAAATGCCAGGCATTGTTCTTACAGACACAAAGATTTTAAATATATGGTCCTTTCCCTATTGAAATTGTGCATTCTTCATGGTAATAACACACTATATACTTGAAATTCATACAGCTTTAAAACCTGTTATAAAATTTGGCATATATATATATATATATATATGGAAAAGAAAAGAAAAATGGTCTCTCAGAATGCACACAGTATTAACAATTTGGAAAAGGACTTCTTAAAGTTTTCTTTACCTTCTTTACCTTACAAAGGATTCACATCATGGTGTCTGAGCTCTTTCAGTTGCTTCCCTTCCACTCCTTGGCTACCATGGAATCTGGAAGCAGCATCAGTTATCAACAGAAGATGGTTTCATGATAGGAGACAATGGGAGGTGCATGTCCTGCAGCAATTTAAGGTGTAGGATATCAGATTATTACACGCCCAAGTGCTTTAATACAAACTGGTGAAAATAAACAAGTCATAAAATCACAAAATGGTTCTCTTGGCTTAGCAGACCTGAACCTGTGTAAAACAGGTCTTAAAACACATGATAGAAATTCCACTTGTAGGAACCAAATATCATACAATACATGTATTGCAATGTGAAATAAAGCAGTTTCCTGAATGAGACTGATTAGTGTGCATATCCGTGACCACTGATCTGAACCTGCTTATCAGGGAAAAGGGATGTAGCTCATTGGCAGAATGCTTGCCTAGCATGTGTAAGACCCAAGGTTTGATGCAAAATGAATACATAAAATAAAAATACATTAAACAATAGCTTCTCATTGTTTTTATTTTTAAAAGGCTGAAGGGACCATTTCTTCATTTACAGTCGTCTGATTTTTGATGGTTTGAATTTAAAAAGGTTATGGTTACATTATGGAGAAAATAACTATTAAAAATTAATTAAAAAGTAGTGCTGGTGGCTCACTGCTGTAACCCTAGCTACCGAGGAGATGGAGATTACTAGGATTACAGTTCGAGGACAACCTGGGCAAAAAGTTTGTGAGACCTCACCTCCAATAATCAGAACTAAATGAACTGGAGATGTAGGTCAAGTGATATAGCACTTTGTAAGCACCAAGCCCTGAACTGAAACCCCAGTCCCACTAAACAAAATAAAATAAAATAAATTAGGCAATTCTTTGTTATGCTACTGAACATATGATAAACAGTTTTAAATTTACTTCTTGTCTCAATTCCCAAGTGAAAAAACATCCTCACTTCTGGTTTGTATTCTGTATCTTAACAATCCTAAAAAAATTGGAAACAACTAGCTGGTTGTTTGCATATTTGCATTAACTTTGTTTTTATGCTTCTGTTCACTGAGACAAATTGCTTAAAGAGGAAGTAGCCTCCTCAATTGACAGAATTTTAAAGTAGTAATTATATTATGTTTTCTCTTTAATAAGGTTAATTTTATCCCTATATGAAATTTGTGTCTACACTGTGGTTAATGGATAGCAGTGAACTATAGCATCCATTCAGCCCTGTTTCTTCAGAAAGTCCTAAAATGGTTTTATTTATGTGCTGCAGATTGCCTTAGTTTTGCCCTTTAGCACCACCTGGTGGACAAAATATCATTTTTCACTGCAGTTTTTTATAGCCCCTCCAGACTCTAATACCCAATTATGACTTAGCATAATAATCAATTGTGAAAGGTTTAAAATTTAAATATCTATGTAAACAGAGCAAGTTAACTACTCTTGCAAATTTAAGTGCCTGAGCTTTTTTCTTTTTAATTAGCACATAGTAGTTGGTGGCTGTACATATTTATGAGATACATCTATACAGTATGTACTGATCAAATCAGTGTGGTGTTCACTTCCATGTCCTCATAATTTGTTTATGTCTGAAACCTTCAAGTTCCTCTCTTCTAATTCTTCATAAATACACAATAGAATATTGTGAACTATAGTCACCCTACTGTGCAGCAGAGTACAAGCACTTATTTCTCTTATCTGTGTTTTGGGACCCATTATCTAAGCCCCCCTTTCTGTTCCCTCTTCTCTCTACTCTTTCTAATCCCTAGTAATTACTATTCTACTCTTAGTTTTGGTTTTTTAGAGAAAAAATTGGTTTTTGTCATTTTGTATCCCTAAATGCTTGAATTTTTTCTTTTTCTTCTTTTTTTAATGCTTGACTTTTTAGTCCTTGTTTTATACAACTGTGAATAATATTTTACATTCTTATACAAAACTATTCTTTCTACATTTTAATTGTTCTTTATTTTTATCTTTGTCAATATTGAGTCAAATAAGACCAGGAAGTTTTCTCTGCCATAACAATAAACTGTGGTTTAGATGAGACTGACACCCCAAAATGCAGCTAACCACTTTTTAAACAACACTTTATAAATAAGTTTCATATTTTAACTATTACCATGTTAATATTTTATGGGAAATTAATACTTAAATTAGTATTTCGACCTATACTATTATAAAATAAGGCCTCCAAATGCTCATTTTCCCCCGTACTAATAAAATTGAGTCTTATATTTATTAGTTCTCAATTTTTGATAGCTTTTTAAAAATTTTCTATAAGATAACTCTGGTAATATTTTCAAATGAGAAATGCAGATATATGTAAAGCTAGTTTGAGCTTTTTTAATACATTATTCTTTGTGAATATATTCCTGTGAAATAGATTCCTATGAAATATAGTGAATTAGATAATTCTCTTGCAGATTTTACTATGTTCTTATAACTTCCCTAAAACACTTATAATCTTCCTTTCTTTCCCCCTTTTTCCTTAAGGCCTTGGGTGGTACACTGTAAATTCAGCATACGGAGATACCATTACCATGCCTTGCCGGCTTGATGTGCCTCAGAGTCTCATGTTTGGCAAATGGAAATATGTAAGTGACCCACCTGCCATTTGGTTAATTGCCTCCAGTTTTAAAAGTGCAATTCTTTTTTGTGAGTAAATATGAATGTTAAATCAACATGATGGCAATATTCATCTATGGATACTAATGTAGGAAGGTATAATCAGTGCATTGAATATGTCAACAAAATTTCTAAGTTTATAAAACAAGTCTATTTAAAAAAAATAAGCACATAAGTTTTAGGTGACAATAGTCTGAAATATTCATCCTTAGAGTCCCAGAATAGTTCTCTACCAGCATGGAAAGGTGAAGTTAAGGTTTATGAGGACACAGTCTTTTACCATCTCCCAAATTCCAAGAGCCTAAGAGTCTACCACACAATTCATGCTGAATCAAATTCACTGTCAAAATAAATGGAATCATGTGACAAAAAAAATCTTCTGTAATCATAGAAAATTCTAAGCATAACACAAGGAATGGTTTTCATCTAAACTGAGCTGGCACAACAGTACTGGAAACTGATTAATAATGGCAAATTTCCAACTGTGATTAAGCAAAAAGCCCCAGGAATAAACTGATGAGATACATTTCAGTTTCACTGTTAGTGGCAATTTGCAGAAATAGTACACATCCTCCAATTTAATGTAAACACCCAAAAGACAAGTGGAGGATGTGGGAGAAATGGAAGGAAGCAAACCTAGGGAGAGGATGAACTGGCTTGTTACCATCACTGTAAACTCCTGTGAGTGGAGAATGTGGCTCTTCACTCCTCCCAGCCTCACTCACTCAGCCTCTTCATCAGCATCTGCCACAGGGCCCATAGGAAGAGATACGTAAATCTAAGTACTATCAAGAGCGGAACAGTGTAGTCATGATGGGACCAGGATGCTTAGCTCAAATCTCAACTCTGCTGAGACTTACCAGCCAAGACATTGGGAAGCTATCTTACTTACCAAATGCTACCATCACTGTGCAATCTGTAAATGAAACTAAATTGTAAGTCTAACTTACTGTGTTGTTAGGAGTTTTAAATCAATTAATCACTGCATAGAAAGTCCCAGGAAAGAACCTGCCACATAATTAAGTGCTCAAAAATTAATAACTATTATTTATTGCATAAGGAAGTGAGTATGAAAATTTAAGTACTGGTCTAACATATTTCCCATAATGAAGAAATGACATAAGGCAAGGATTTACATTGTAAACCTGAGATAAAGCTAAAAGATTTAAGAAGAATATTGCTGGTGTATTCTGAATGTGTAAGAGCTTAAAACTTCGGGACTGCAAGATAAGCTTAGTAATCAATACTAATTTTTTAATTAATTCTGCATAGTATCTTAAAATTTGCCTTATATTTTAACATGTTGTATCATATTTTATTTTCTCAAAAGCCTTGAGAAGTAAATAAAAGAGGAATTGGCACCTATTTTAGACTAAATTGCTTCTTAGATAAGAGAATTCTCATGGAACCAGAGGAAGAAATGCATCATGTGACTCAGGGGCCAGATTATCTTATTTTGATAAGCTTTTATATGAAAGCCTTTTGAATTAAGTTTTATGACTCAAATAGTAAAGCTGAATTTCAATGGTTAATCTAATTCTCTTGCTTAATGGACATCATTGTTTCACAAGGGTGAATACTGTTTCTCCAGGAAGAGTGATAAAATGATTTAACATGCAAAGGTCAGCTATCGCAACTCTGCTTGAATGATGTGGACATTAAAAGTATGCAGATTAAAGTAAGGAAGAGGCCAAAGACAACTGCACAAGATATCTAAATCAGTGTTTGCAGCTCAAGTTTAAGCTTGCTGGAATGGTGATCTGAATGTCATCTTGTACACTTATATATTTGCTTTTATGTACTTTTTGTTTTATATTGAACAAAACCAGTCCTTGTCAGTTTCAAAATAGTCACTAATTCTATTTTCCAGATGTGAGGAAAGCTCATCTTCTAAGAGCTCTATCCTTTCATTTTCACACATTTAAACCAACCTATAAAAGAGCTTATAGCTTCCTGTCTCATGAAGAGTGATTTTCTGTAAGCAAAGATTTATGTGAGGCTATTATCCAAAATTATTGCTCTTAGACAAAAAAATTATAAATATTGGTTGAAGAATGTAGCCAACAAATTTTGTTATTCTGAATGCAATGCAATCCTGAAGCATCTGAATATGCTTGTTTTTAAAAAGTATTATTATTTTAATTTTTAGGAAAAGCCTGATGGCTCCCCAGTATTTATTGCCTTCAGGTCCTCTACAAAGAAAAGTGTGCAGTACGACGATGTGCCAGAATACAAAGACAGACTGAGCCTCTCAGAAAACTACACCTTGTCTATCAGTAATGCGAAGATCAGTGATGAAAAGAGATTTGTGTGCATGCTAGTAACGGAGGACAACGTGTTTGAGGCACCTACAGTAGTCAAGGTGTTCAGTAAGTAGCCTGCAATATAATTGCTAAGTGGGATTGATGGGCAGTACAAGAACATGTTCTTTTGAAAAAGGACTGAGCTCTCTGTAATGTAACTACACCAGGCTTCTCTATAAGAGGATTTCTAGAAATCTTCTGCTCATGCATGCAGCCAGCAAGGGAAACAAAGTCTGAAATTTAAATAGGAGATTTACAGTGAGGAACTAAAACAATATCCTTCGTTGTTTTGTCATGTAAAATTTTCTGAGATATGAAGTACTATTAGTGATAACTGACATGATTTCTAACTTTCACTGGTAAGTACTTAAATAAATGTTCTGTGTTATAGACAAGTTCCATATATAACCATGCATATGTACATATACATTAGACTGAACCATATGAAATTGCTATTTTAATATATAAAAACAAAATAGAGATAAATTCAATTCACCTTATTACTTAGAGATGTAAGCACTTAATTTGTACATATATATACATATAATAAAATATGTATGTATATGCATCCTGACCTTTAATGCTTATTGATTTAGACTTTAAAATGTTCATTTGGTTAAGTAAATTGCCCTAAATATAAAAGCTCATCCCATCCTGAATGTGTGTATGGGACACACCAAGGGTAGAGAATGGAGTTAGAAGATAGGAAAATTGTAGTCACTATGGCAAAGTTACTTTGCCTAATAATAACATATAGTTTATGTTACTGTGCAAATAGTTGTGCAAATGAATGATTTGAGACATTATAATTAAGGCATTTCATCTTTTAAGATTCAAATAAAAAATACTACCTCAGTTACATCATGAAAATTGTAGGAGGAAAACTGGGTCTCAAAAGTTTCAGAAAGCAAGTCTTTTTTAATTAGGAAAGAAGGGCCCTCACTCTCCACCTTTTTTTCTTCAGCTTTCTGAGAATTTGATACCACCTAGACATTATTAAAATAAATAGTGAGGAAAGAAACCCAGAGGGCTCCACCTAAGCACGTAACCATGGATTTTTCTTGTTTCTCTTGTAATAACCTATGCAACTAAGTAGGTCTGTCCCTTAAGTATTTATATGGACTTCAAAGCTCCTCTGGGTTCATTATGTGGACTCAAAGAGTGCTTACACAATCAAAAGAAACCTTTGTTCTCCAGAAGAACCTTGTAAAAGCCTATTACATGTTTCAGTTGATTACTTTCAGCTTAGAAGGCACTTTCCAGAAATCATCTACACTTCTCAATCATTTTATGAATCAAACAAGTACCAAGTGTGTGCCACTCAGGTCTACTTCCATGAAGCACATGAAATAAAGAATTGGTATTTCATATTTGCCAAGGGCCCATGTATCTTTCTTTTTAAATTTTACTTTGATATTCTTAGAAAGATGTATGGTACACTGCTCATGACACTTTTTCTGAAGACAGCAACCAAATTTTTTTATTATAGTCTATGATATTAAGAATGTCCCATAGTAGGTAGAATAAGTCACAGCACACTAATAGTTATTTATGTTAATTTGTCATTTTCAAATTTCTTTTATACTGTGTTAAAATTATTGAACATTAAGCTAGCATAAAAGGAAGTTGAGAAAAATTCAGGTTATTACACATTTAGATGTTTTTCAGAATGCCTTTCTTAAAAAAATCTGAAACTAAAAATTCATTTGATCTAATTCAATAAAATCTGCAAGCTGCTTTGGAATACAGAGGATTCCTGTGATTGGGAAAACAAACTCACACCCCACACACCACCAATACCCCTTCCCCGTTCTCTTGAATATTGTTGAAAACAAAGCCAATCTCAGAAACAAAATTTGCATTCCAGGCTGTGGGCCAGAGAAAATTTACATAGACAAGTTACACACTCTTGAAAATGGTGTTTTATACTAGAAATTGTGAGATCCTCCAAATCCAATAAAATGAGCAGCATAGCTCATGATAAAGACAGTGTTTACATGATGATGCAGGGTCTTTGCTTTTAAAAAAAATTTTACTTTGGGTCACTTTTTGTGAAGCAAACAGCAGCTGTGACTGGGAGACTTTCTTCTGGGCATGTATGTATTGCAGTCACTTAAGAGTTACTGGACTCATCAATCAGACCTCTGTTTCCCACTGTTGAGTCACCTAGCAACGTGCACCATGTATCATAGAGTCATGTGAGCCAATCCCAGATTCTCTTGCTGCAGATTGCAGAGCTCATAGGCAAAGTCAAATTCTGTTTCTTCAAACCAGAGAACCTGACTGGTGACTTTACCTTTAATGTAATTTATTTGTTTAGTTTTAAATTATACCTCAGATGTAAGAAAACATACCCATAAGCCATCCCAGATCCAAATATGTGACGTGCTTTAGCACCACTGATCAGCTATTTTCAAAAGTTGAATAGCATGAAAATCAAACAATGTTTGCATTTAGTGCACATTCGAGGTTAATGAAACTATTTGTTTAGTAGACCTTTAAATGTTTCCAAAGATTCATTTCAGTGATTGTGCAAAAGGCTTAGAGGTCAAATGGGTACCCAGAGAGCCAGATGACTGTCAGTGGTGAAATGGAAAAATCACTGAGCTGATCACTGACTGACCTTGCTTTCTCAGTACTGTTGCTAATTTCTGACCTTGGGCAAGTCTCTACCATTCTGGGGTTGAGATGACCTCATCAGTAAAATGAATGCTCTAGATTCCATGGGAGGGTTTTCCATTCTCTTACTAGGACCCTACTCAGGAGCTAATGTAGAGGGCTTGGAAAGGTGAGAAGCTGCTGCTACTTAATTAGCTAGAATTCTATTAATTTTTTTAGCATTATTCATGGTAACTTCTTCAGGAAAGAAAGCTAGTCCAAGATGTTCATGAAGTGGAGTCAGGAAAATCAGATGCTCCCTGATTTTGTGTGATCCAGTCTCAATAAAAAGGTTGGGGGGGTCTAGCTCTACAAAAATACTTGAAATCACAATCCTAATTTGCAAGTTTCCTCTATTCTGGTAGTGCTAAAAGAAAGACTGTTCCCATGACACAGTCTGATGTACAGGTAGTCCATTTCTCATGGTGTCTGGTGGTGTTTGTTGGGTTCACACAGTTGTTTCAGAGTTTCTATTTGGATACTGCTCCCAATGGTTTATTACAATTGAGCATACCTTTCCTCATCCTCCTGAGGAAAGTTATTCAAGCTGAAATTAATACTTTAAGGGGTGAAAGAAGCAGAAAATGGTTTATTTAACAAGAGACCTAAACTATATATTTCAGTTTGGTTCTTTAAACATAAAAATAATAATCCTTTCCCCCATCTAATGAGGATATATTCAACATGACTCCATGAACACAATAGTAGATTTAAAGTATGCATGGTCTGTGAGGACTAGTTGCTGAGAAGAGGTGGGACCTCTTTTGAGTTAACCCAACCAGTGCATCTGCCTTTTCTTGTTCTCCAAAATCAAATTGAGCTATCCTCTGTGGAGGTTTTGACAGCAGTACCAGGACACTGTAGGTGATATTAAGCAGTTTTGCATTTGTTACTTCATCTTCACCTGCTGGTGAGACAGCAAGAGGTCAGAAAATACAAAGTTTAGTATGTTGCTCATTTCCGTTTTTTTGAAGGCTCATACTGAGTACTCACTAACAACCTGGGTGTTAGAGCAAAAGGAGATATTGATTCTGGTATATTTCTTCCAGCTCATTCCCCATCTTCTTAACTTAATTTCCTTTTCCTGCAAAATTATCTTCTGTATCACTTCTCCAGCTGATATACTACAAAAAAGGCAGTAAGGAAAGTAGAGCTTCCATTTATGAAATATTTCAAATTGCAGTAAACATTAACTGTAACTTGATTTTTAATTATTTACAATAAGACCTGAAAGGATATCAGTGGAAAACTTCACAATCTATTATCTAAAAAATCAATCATTTGAGTCCTCGTATTATATGCCATTGCTCTAGTTATATAAGACTAAAGATGCTAGCTGCCCTTTCCCCAGCACACACACACACACTGTACTATCTCATTTATAATGAATATTGTAAAATTCATTTTTAAATCTCTCTATTCTATAATTTTAAGTTATCATAGTGTGGTCCTGTGATAATACTGCTCCTAGTTACTTCAATAGAAATAGCCAGGTCATCAAGGAAGAAGAAAATTAACTAAGGCATGATTCTACCATTTGATTTCAGAGTGATTTTACAGAACTTAGGAGTTTTCAGAACCAAATTTGGTTTATTTTTAAATTAGTGTTCTTGAATAAATTACTTTAACAATGTAAGTAAATTTGTGGCATTGCTTTTTCTCTCAACTTTATACTTGGTTATGAGTCTCTGAATCATATTAAGACATAATTCACATAAAATTTTAAAAAAACACTTTAAAATCAATATGCAATTTTGCTAAAATAGTATGTGTCCTCTTTTATGGTCTTCCAACTAATATCTATCGATTGTTGCTACCTAATATAAGAGAAAATTGCATACAAAATATGTAGTTAATATAGAGGGCTTGAAACAAAACTACAAGGAAAAAAATGAATCAAGGAAATGCAATACGTATTACCATTTTTTCACAGTATTCACTGTGATTCTCTTCCAAATGGAAAGATGAATAAAAATGTGAAGATGGTTAACTTTTAAGCATCCTTTCATCAAATTTTTTAAGGTTTGCTACAGATTCATTTCATTAAAATAAGAAATTTTAGAAGGTATTTAATGGAAACAGTGTACATTGCCACAAAAGATTGTAATACATCACCGTTTATGTCTGCATTGATAAAAACATCAGTATTGACAAAGGAAAAGTATAGATATACATTCTGTATAGTTAGAGGAAATGAGTATGGACAACTGTTTTGTCATTTTACTTCAATGAACTAGAAAATAGTAAAACTTGGCAAAACTGCCCAACGAATCTTTCTTTTTTTGTACATTTATTCATATGTGCATATATTGTTTAGGTCATTTCTTACCCCACCCCCCTCGCTTCCAGGCAGAATCTGTTCTGCCCTTTTCTCTAATTCCAGAAAATCTTTCTACTTAGAGCCTAAAGTTATGTTGAGATCTTCAAATTTCTCCATATATACCTGGCATAATTCTATTGAAGAAAAAAACTAATAAACATTTGTCTTTTTCTTTCTGTTAATTTTGACTCTTGTTTGATCACATAAATTATTTTAATATCTTCTGTGTTTTGAGGTCATAGAGAGTTACTAAATAACTGACTTTAATGCTCAGAAAACTTTGTCTTATTTATTTAAGCCCTAAAAATTTGCATTCTGTTTAAATATTATAGATGCATTTCTCTTTCAAATGTATTAGATATTTATTTTTGAAAACATGAATTCCAAACAGAATTCAATGTTTAATTCCGTAGCTCAGTTTTAATTTTTATAGCATTCTATCAAACTAATAATAACATCAGGGTGCACAGGCTTTACCCCCAATATCACCTTTCCCAGAAACTGATGTCTATTTTGAGGAGATTTTTGATCAACTTTTTTATTATCTTGTAGTCATCTTCCTAACAGACAATAGACAGTTGGGTGACATTTCTGGTTTTATATTAATCTTAATTGTCCTTGTTGTACCTTTCTATTCCTCTACATTTATTTGCTCCCTACTTTTCTGTTTTTCTTGTTTTGTTTCCAATTGATGTATTTGGAAGCTAGACAATAATCATTGTGAAAATTGTGTTTGTGGAATTGTATTTCTAGAATTAATTGTAAACAGGCCCTCCTATAATTAAAGTACATGAACTCCAGTCATAGTAGATTTATTATATTTATTACTTTAATTTCTAAAATAAAACACAATTGCAAAGGTAAATAATTTTAATTTAACTGAAAGAAAGCTATATTTTTCAATACACTCTAGTGATGCTCATTTTGTTACTACAAAGGCTTTTTTCTTTTTTCCTTGTTTTCTATGATGGTGTACATAGATAACATGTCGATAACTGAATTCTAAATTGAGTAATCATTACACAAAAGCCAATTTAGCTGCTTGGTAATCAAAATTAGAATTATTGAAAATTGTGAATAATACAATAAGTGAAACAATAGCTGGTAGCTTTCATTTGTTTGTTTATATCAGAATAGAACAATTCTGTCCCATAAGACTTAAAAATTAATACAATGAAGCTATTTATGTTTTCTAACAAACTGTTGAAGTACTTTGAAGTACAAAATCCATCCATGATAGAAAATTAACAGATAAGAATAAAACCAATTAATTTCAGTAAGAAATTGTTGCTATAATTTTTAATCAGTTGCTCCTGAAGCCTCTATTAGAATTCATATATATAGAACTAACTATATTTAAAATACTTCTGTCCATCATCTCAGGTAACAAATTTGAAATATTTCCCCATATTTATAATTTCATAATGTGACAACTTCAGAGATAAAGTTTGAAATACTTAGCAAATTTGTGCTTGTATATCCCTAACTAGCTTTCCCATGATTTTAGAGCAGTGTTCCTGAAACTTCATTATGCCCAAGAATCTCCTAGGAACTTGTTAAAAATATAGATTGATGGGATTTTCCCACAGAGATTCTGATTCAGTAGAATGCTTAAGACTTAGAAATATGCATTTTAAACAAGAACCTCTGTGATTCTTATTTGGGTGAATTAATGTCCTTACCAATGAGTTGCCAGTTCCTGATAAGTAGTAAGTGTCTGTGATAATCAATTGGAAATAATGTATCCTATTTAGTACATTAGCTTCTGTTCTACTACCAAACCCACATTCAGTTCATAAAGCATAAGAATTGAAAATATTATATTCAAAAGATTTATAAGAACTTGAAACAATGTTTAAAATCATAAAGCTATCCTTTGGAAGGGCTTTACCTACCAGATTTCTTAAATACATAGTGAAATTTCTTAAACATAGGGAAATCTGTTCTTTATTCTGTTGCTTGTTCTTCTTTGACTATGTGCATTATATTTGCTATAAACTGAATCACAGATATCCTGTTTTCCCTTTTCATGTGTATTCAAAACTTTTCTCTACTTAACCTTAGAGCAACCATCTACACCTGAAATTGTAAACAAAGCACCATTTCTCGAAACAGAGCAGCTAAAAAAGGTGAGAGCATAGTTTTTGATCAACTACTTTTTACTTTGTATTAAGTGCCAAGAAAATAAAATGGGTTTTGCTTTGGTGGAGTTCACAGTGTTGCGATTCTAATCTGAGAAATCAGAAGGCACAGTGAGAACACCATGCCTACTTCCCTTTGACCATGAGAATGTGTAGGCAGATAGGGTCATTTATGAAGGGAGGAGTCTTTCATATTTGAATGAACTGAATGTCTGATAAAACCAGTGAAAGATGAGTAAATTTTCTCCAGGCCAAATGTAGTTAGGGCTCTCCAACAAGATGAAATAATGGGATATGAAAGAGAATGGCATGCCTGGGAAACATCAGTTTGGGGCATTTTGGAAACTTTGAGTGCTGGGATAGAAGGTGAGAGACTACAGTAAGAGATAAATCTGGAGAGGTAAAGAGAGGCTAGATTATGGCAAGCCTTGTAGCCACAAAGCTACAAGTTTGTTCTGTTGACAAACTACACTAGTGAAAGTTTGAGGTATAGGTGTGAAAACAGGTTTGTGCAATCACATTAACAAAGACAAAAAGAGAAGCTCTCTTGAAGGGGGAGGCAAAGTTGAATTCCACATCTGAGCACATCAAGTAAGAATCTCATCTTCAGTAGCTAAAATATCTAAATTTTCCTTTATTTGTGTGGTGGAGCCAAGTTCTTTGAATCAAATTTACTTTTGCTGAACATTATTTGGTAAACATTGAATATTAAAGTTAAAACACATTTGAGCCAAATGGTGGGGATTGTAGAATATGGTAAGGATATGTAGTCTGAAATATATATAGTACGAAATTAGAGAGGAATCACATTTTAATGCTAAATAATTCTTACTGATAAAAATCTATGAACCGTAGTAAGTCAACATAGTTATATAGTGGTGTTAAAAATAAACAGTGACAAAATTAATCTGGTAATGACTTTAGATGAATGTAATTTCATTAATAGTGTAGAATCTATTGCACATTTTTAAATGGGCAAAACTATATTTTTAAATAAAAAGCATTGCTTTTATATAAGATAACAGATATTCTGTTTTTTAGTCAGTGTTGGAAAATGAAAGGTTCAAGGTACTTTGCATTTCCTGAGTATTCTGGGGTTTCCTAGTCAACAGTCCCTGATTGAAACAAGGAAATACTTGAAATAATGAACTTTTATTCAAAAGAAATATTGAAGCAAGGAAATATCATTTCCTTTTTATTTTGTAGTTGGGTGAGTGCATTTCAAAAGACAGCTACCCAGATGGCAACATCACATGGTACAGGAATGGAAAAGTTCTACAGCCTGTGGAAGGAGGTAGGTATGAGGTGGGCAATAAATTCAGATGAACTGTTTTGATTCTTTCCTGTCTAGCTATACTGCAGGCTACTCAGGATCTAAACATGCTGTCTTCTTCTTATAAAAGACTCTATATACTTTACTACTTTATCCATTAAATCCTTAAGTGATTTTCTGAAATACCATTTTAGCTGTTGTACAGAAGAATCAAGAGTAAAGTATTTCTGCAAGTGACATTTTCTAGAAGTTAATTAAAGCGAATGGGAGAAAGAATTCCAGGATTTTATTTTATCAATATTTCTGATTCGTGGTTTTAAAAAGACATCATACCTCACTGTATACCAATTTTTCTTCTTGCTAAATACAATTAGAAGGACAAAAACACTTCTCAAGGGTGTTATGATATTTAATTAAAGATTGTGATTTTTTCCAATGAAATAGTTTATCATCATTATTCTTTATTTTTCTTCAGTGGTGGTCATAATTTTTAAAAAGGAAATGGATCCAGTTACTCAGTTGTATACCATGACTTCATCCTTGGAGTATAAGACAACCAAAGCAGATATACAAATGCCATTTGCCTGCTCTGTGATATATTATGGACCCACTGGCCAGAAAACACTGCAATCTGAACAAGCTGTTTTTGATATTTATTGTAAGTAAATCAGTATATAATTATGTAATTTTAATATACTAGAAACAATATTCAACTATTAATCTTTGAAATCTCAATCTACTTGTTCTTTGGATTCTGCTTTCAGTCATCACCACAAACCTACAGCATCCAAATAATCTTTTCCTCATAGTGAAATCCATAGAAAAAAAGCCATCTTATAATTTCTTTCACATTCTATTATGTTTTTTATGAGTATCTCTTCTGTATTCTGCTAGATGTCAAATTCCTTAAAGACAGAATCACTAACATGATCGATTTCTTCTAGAAGTCCTTAAGCCCTAACATACTTCCATAAATTTGTAGGAACTCAAAATGCCTTCTGGCCATTCTCTGAATGCATGATAGCCAAATAACAGCCTTATAACTGACTAGCTTCCAGAGTATAGGATTACCATTTTCATGAAGAGATTTAATAATGAGATCAGTTGCTTAATTTAGATAGGATGTTGTATTCAAGATATTTTGGTTAACTAAATTATAGCTTTGAAACATATATGAAACTACAAAAGAACCTTCCTGCACATTTCTTCTAACTCCATTGTTTTATTTAGCAGTAAATGTGAGTCACAGAAGTATGCCATAAATAAGCTGCAGAGGTTGGAATAGAATCCTTTTTTCCAATTCTGGGTTCTTTCTTGTAAGACAAATGCCAAGATAAATCTAATGATTAAGAACAGGAAACACGCTATTTTCAACTTTATTATTTCAGCACTTAGTACTTGTATAGACACTGAACAAATGAACCAATGATTGGCCAGAAGGATAACTGAATAGATAGAAGGGAAAATATTTGAGTACACTGTTTTAGTTATTATGTAGAGCTTATGTAGACTAGTAAGATATAGCAGTCTCACTTGAGCTAAATTCAAGCCAAGTTCAAGCCTGGTGTACCAAACTGTGTACACCAGGTTAAAGAATTTTTATTTCAAATCTTTACATATTGGAAATATATGAAGGATTCTTTATACCACTATAATATTCAAAGCATTACTTCATAAAATTGATCCAGATGAAATGTTATGAAAGTGTACAAAAGGAGAAAGATTTAAGATGAGGGATTGAATGAAACTAATGGCAACATTTCTGGTGTGGGTTAATCAGGGTATAAACTAGGGAAGTGTTAGTGGGAACAGAGAGGAGACTCTCTTGTGGTCTTGTGGTAGATAATTTTTAGTGCCATCACTTTGAACACATAAACACCTGTCTCAAATAATTATTAATTTTTTGTAAAGGTTTCCTAAAACAAACTTCATTGTTCATTGTACTATCCAGTTGTGTAACAAATGGATAGGTTAGAAAGTGAATTGTTTATAACTACTACCACTACCTTGCTTTATTTCCTGCTTGCTAGATATGGTCCCACTGTGTCCACCTGAATTTATTTAGCATTCTATTGTTGAGCAGTAGCCTGTACGAAAGAATACTGTTTAGTCCTGTTTTCTCCACAACAATGACCAAAATGGAATGAAAGTATGGAAGTTGCATCTTGGCTCCAATGAACAGGACAGAATTACGATACATTTGCCATCCTGTTGATTGTGTTAAGAGTCTCTCTCAGTACATAGGATTCATTTTTTTAAACAGATCTACTCTCCTGCATGGCCTAAACCTTGCTGGTACTGGTTAGCTCATGCATCCTTTCATTTAACATAAGGTACTATTTTGTAATATAAGTGCAGTGGTGCCTAATAATTTTAGTGACTTTGATAGCTGATTTAGTCTTTCCAAACTATAAGATTCATATAACATCATTTAATTTCCTTATAATGAAGTCTTACAGTGAGATTGTTCATGCTAGTCTTTTGCACATAAAATAATTATAGTCTCTCCTACCTCCACTAAAGACATTTAGCTAAGAAGAAATTGATTTTTATGTAACAGAGTCTCTTTGTAGTTTGCTCTAACTAAGTTTAGTGCTTGGTATAGCAAGTGGCTATTAACTTCAATCCCACTATAAAAAGAAGCATTTAAGTAATTACCGTTACTAGCTTCTTGAGAAAATTGTGTGTAATTTAGTCATTTGCATTGTATGCAGAGAGTAATTTGGTACTTGACAAAAATTGTTATCTTGGGCCTGTGACTCTTGCAGATCCTACAGAGCAGGTGACAATGCAAGTGCTACCACCAAAAACTGCCATCAAAGAAGGGGACAACATCACTCTCAAATGCTTGGGGAATGGAAACCCTCCTCCTGAGGAGTTTATGTTTTATTTACCTGTAAGTGCTTAAGTATTATGTATCATTTTGTCCTGTTGTTTGACTTCTAGCTGACATTAAGGATTACATTTACTTGGGTAGAGTAGGCGTGAAAGCATGTTAGTTATTCTTGGAGACAAAATAAAAACAAAAAAAAAACAAAAAACAGAGAAGCCTTTAGAATGTCCTTGGAAAGCTTTTGTGGCACCTGCCAATGTTTTTGCCTTTTTTTTTTCCCCTTAAGGTTTAGAGACTTCAGACACACACACACAAATAAAGAACTACCACAGGAAATCATAACTGCAAAAACTCTAGGTTTAGTTGTCCAAATAAGCTATAAAAATCTGCTCTTTAGAAGCAAATAACTATAAAATAAAAACTGATGACAGCAAATGGTCTGATATGAATTCTAAATCTACCAGGGTGTTGCCTGAATGTATCTTTGGGCTTCTGAAGTAGGGATTGTTCTATTACATGTTATTTATCTTGGTAATATAATGTTGTAGGCTCTTTCATCTTATCATATATGATTTTTTTCCACGCTAGAAACACCCACAGCCTTGACGTGCTAGAAGGGCTCTACCACTGAGCTACATGCACAGCTCATATGTAATCTTAAAATATTAATCCCTCAACTTCTATCTATATCACAGCTGAAAGAAAGTATATGCATGGAAGAAGTATTTGAAATTTCCTGCCAGGTTCTGGATGCATAGTAAAATGGAGCCAGACTGAAAAACAGCTCTGTCTGAGGATACTTTGCACTCCCCTCGCTTGGTGTTCTGGCATCACCTTTGAATGGAGGAAAGCTATATCCTATTGAATACTGTATACCCTGCTGCAGTGTGCTTGTGAATTTACCTGCCACATTATTGTTAGTTAAAACATCATTCTGTATGTTGCCCAGAAGTCTAGTATAAGTAATTTCTTATAAACTTAAATGTTTACAGAAAACTATTTCACCTGTTAAATTGGCATACTGCTTTTCTCTCATTTATAAATGGAAATGGAAATTATGAAACTAATTAGGTTTCCATTTTGACTATCTGAGACAACAGAGCCTAAAGTGTGTCTCAGTTTTTATGGAAATACATGCTGAATATCTCTTTCGGTAACATAAATACCTTTTCCACCCATATTTTTCTCATTCTTGATGTGTTTTCTTTTTCTTTCTCCCTCTTTTTTCCCTTTCTCTGTTTCTCACTCTTCTCTTTGCTTCCTTCCTCCATGTCTTTCCTTATTATTTGGATATATGACATGTTTTCTCTTAAGCTGCTTCATTTCTTTTTTCAGATTAGGTAAGGCATTTACATAAAAATAAAATTTATTGGACAACAAAAACTCTGCCTCAAAAATAAAACATAAGCCATGCTGTCAATAAAATAGATGTCATCAATACTACATGAATTAGCTTTTAAAAATTCCTTAGAACCAAAATATTAACAATTTCTCTAGGAATAGAAGTTCATAGCACAAACTGTACTCTTTTTTTTCCAATCAAAGTGCATACTCCCTTTTTTCTTTATCTGAGGAAGTGTCATCTTCATCAAGAAATAACTGTTCTCATTGTAGCTACCACATATAATCATGTGACATTTTGCTTCTATCAAAAGGGACAGCCAGAAGGAATAAGAAGCTCAAATACTTACACATTGACAGATGTGAGGCGCAATGCAACAGGAGACTACAAATGCTCCCTGATAGACAAAAAAAGCATGATTGCTTCAACAGCTATCACAGTTCACTGTAAGTCAACTTCTTCCTTATCAGCTGATGGTATAATGTGCAGAAGTTTTCTAATAAAGTGCAGGTATATCTTTCTTAAATAAGTTGCTTTCAATAGATTTAGTAAAGAGCATCAGAATAAACTCACTGTTCATCTAGATTGCACTCCAATATTGAAACCTTGCATAGATCTGGTCATTGTAATTTTTGTCAGTGGTAAACCTCCCTCTTCTTTCTAAATGTCTTCAGTTTATTGATAAATAGTTCTCATATGGATCTTAAGGAACAACTCATTACATATTTTAAGAAAAATGACACACACACACACTCATACCTGGATATTTGTTTTGAAAAGAAAAATTGGACCTCATACCTAGGGCCTTGCACATGCTAGGCCACCACTCTTCCACTAAGCTACAACCCCAGTCCCTATTCAGATATTCTTGAATTTCACAAGGTTGAAAGTTGGTCAGGAAAAATGTAGATAAAATATCTTTTTTTAATTACAAAAGTATGAAAACTCAAACCAAGGCAACACAAAGTTACTATAGACTTAATTATTGGAAAAGGCAGTAGAGACAACTAAAACCCATTAATTGGTTGAACTCACTCTGTATAAAAGGATAGCAAATTTATGGAAACAGAAACTCTTCAGATCACCTTCAACATAACTTCTTATTAACTTTTAATTGTCTTGCTCTTCAGATATTCCAAAAGTTATATTTGGCCCCTATGAATGTGATAGGGGGAAAAAGATACATAGAAAACCAACATATAACTTGAGTTCCTTATTTCGTAATTGGTTACAATTTATCTTATTAATGTTTCTGATCCATCATGGAAATGGTAAATTTATTCATCCAACCTACCCATTGTGAGAACTGAAGTCACAGAGTACTTTGGACAAGTGTCAATCTTGCTTAGAAATACAGGCTGAATTTTCTGATATGTTCTTTCCACCCAGCAATGCCATCAGTAAGATTTCCTCTAGACATCATCCATTTTGATCTCATTGAGCATGAGATATTTTCTTGTTACATATTAAAAGGGACTTCATTTTTTTTCCAATTGTTCTCTGATTTTGTAGAAGACAAAAGATAAAAGATTAAAAGAAAAACATGATGCTTTTGCTTGTTTGAGATAAAGATAGCTACACAGGGAGTTTCCTTGTTATATTTCCATGCACATATGTATTCCAACCCCAATTGGTTCATCTTCCCTAATCCTCTTCACTCCTCCCTAGACCCTTTCCTTGGTGGCCCCAGCCAGTTTAAGATTTCTATGTTCACCCTTGTATAGACAGCACATCAACCCCTTTACAGTTCTTAGTTTCCTTCTAAAAGGGACTTTAGATACTGTCCTAAACACATGATTCTAAATCATTTACTCTATCCATAATGCTTGGAAAACATGTAGGATAGGAGCTAAAACTTTGATGGAGATCCAAGAGAGTACACTGGGGAGTAAAACAACCAAATGGTTTCTTTTGATAATCTGATGTTGGAAGTGCACCCTGGGGAGGCCTGTAGAAACAGTGAAGTATTAAGAAATGTTCACAGATGAGTACTTTCTGTTTATTCTGTACTTGTGCTTCATGGGTTTGAGCTCATCTGCCATAGGAGCCAGTTAGAGAGAAAGCAGTGACCTTTCAGTGTAACAACAGTGCTATTTTTCTCTGAGGACCAGTCAGTCATGGAACCATTTATCTAGGCTTATTTCATGGAGAGGAAAAAAGGAAAGTAAGAGAATATAGCCAGCAAATAGAACTGCCTGTACAAGAGCTCTCTGATATCCTTGTTCATGGCATCTTTGGGCCAATAACCAAGAATCTAGTTGCTTAGAGATGGTGCTGTGTGCATATGTTTAAAAGATGCTATGTACCCAAGACCCTAAAAGAAGAAAGCTCTTATGCATATTACTTGTAGATCAAGCAGAAAGGGTAGGCAGAAGAGCTGGTGTTAGCCACATTGTACATCAATGATCATCTGTGATAGGAAAAAAAATAAATGTGTGTGGAACAGTTTACTTGGACTTCAGTGCAGTTAATTAGATTTAAATGCATTTCAGTTTTGACAGGTTAGGCTGCAACATTGGATTTTAATGCCTGCATTTCTCTTCAAAAGCTAAAGAAAAGGTATTTCAATCCAATTAACATTTCATTCTACTTTATACGTAAAAATCAAAATCCTATTTTTTGCCCATTTATCCTCGACTCCTTGTTTTCCAAAAAATAGAATTTGTTTTCCTTCTGTAGATGACTAAAGGGATTGTGGATAGAGAAGCAACGACCCCTACATGCACAGGTTTGTAGAACAGACCTCTCATCACAAATCTCTAAGGCCGACTCCTAGTTGTTGAGGAAACAGCTGCTATTTGTCTGCCCATTCATGCATGCAGAGATTCTTCTTCAGAACTTTCAAAGTCTACCATTGCCCTTTAAACTCTTTTATATTTTCACTAGAAAACTATCTAGCTAACCATTCTGAATAAAATTTTCAACTAAATACATCCTGAGAGGGCTGGCAAAGTGACTCAAGTGGTAAAAAGCAGCTGCCTAGCAAGTATGAGGTCCTGAGTTCAAACCCCAGTGCCTCCAAAAAAAGAAAAAAACTTTCTAAATTTTTTTTATATTCTAATTTAAATTTAATTAAATTAGAATATAAAAAACTAGAATTTAAAAAAAAATTAAAATTTAATCTAAATTTTTCTATTATATTCTGAGGAAACTCCACTTTTCTACATGATGGTGCAGCCTTTTATATTAAGAAGAATCTGAGAAAGTAAGCTCCTTCCCTTTACTTATTCAACTGTAATGTTTGAGAGCCTCCCACATGTCAGGTGCTGTAGAGGAATCAGAAAAATCAAATCATGGTCAGTATCTTCATAATGCTTTCCAGTCTAACAGGAAAGATACCCATTAAAAAATGGTGTTGCAAACAAGAAGTTGCAGTTAAAACATGTAAAACTAAAGAGAAACACAGTACACAAGCGAATCTCCATATCTTAGAATAAAGTCCCAACTCCTATATGGCAAGCATGGTCCTCTGCATCTGGCCCCAACTAATTGTACAGATCTACCATTAGCTACCAGATTTATCACAATTGCAAAATCTGCTACACTCTCTCACTGCTTTGCTTTTGTTTATGTGACAAAAGTTTCCCTTACATTTACTCCTACCAAAGCCCTTCTCAACTGTAGGGGGCCACAAAGAAATAGTCCCTCTTATACAAAGCCTTCCCTAGTGCGTTAAAGAAATCTGACTCTGGTATATACACTCCCATGAATCTTTGTTTGTATCTCTATTTAATCTTTCAACAAATATTTACCAAGCTCCTGATTATGTAGTAGGGTTGATACTGGGTGAAGACTTCCCAAGCCATGCATTGCAATCAGTGGAGTGGCATTACTTCTGTCTTATTAAGCTGTAAGCTCATTACTCATCTCTACACTTAGAACATTGCATCTGTACAATAAATGTTCACTTGAATTAAATTTTCTTCATACAGATCATACTATGACAGGAAGATTTTTATTAAAATCATTTTTCATATGGAACACCATGCATCCTTATATGTGTTTATACTACCTTTAAAAAAAAAGATATTTGTTGACAGTGTACCTAGTAATAGATCTTATTTTAAATTTCCAAAAAATATTTATGAATTTTCTTTGAAGAAACACATAGATACCTCGTTTTTCAGTTTATCATCTGCTGTCCAAATATATTTGATTGCCCAATGTTATACCTTAGATACTATTTTTATAATATTTACTTAGTAATCATCTTTATTTCTTCACAGAATTGATTTAAACTTTTTAAGGGTGATAGCATATATACATACATATATGTATATATACACATGTGCACACACATGCATACACTTAAAGCATCAATTCTGTTAACTACAAATAAATGCATAATCAATTAGATTGACTATTCATTTGTCCAAACTATTCTCAAAGCTGGCTTGAAAACTAGGCTGTATATGCTACAATCCAGTTACTTTAGTATATAAATCAGTTCTGAATTTCCAAGTGCAGTTAGAATTTTTTTCTTTCATATGTCCAAAATATTTTTACTATCTCACTTTATTAGAGTTTGTATTTCAAGCAGATTTTCTGTCTCACAGATTTGGATTTATCCTTAAGCCCAAGTGGGGAAGTGACCAAGCAGATTGGAGATACCCTGCCTGTGTCATGCACAATATCTGCTAGTAGGAATGCAACTGTGGTTTGGATGAAAGTAAGTTAAATTTTTGGAACTATCCTGCTGTTTGGACTGATTCATTTTGCATATTGTATCTTATCCAAATATGTATTTTTATGGATAATAAGTTTATATATCTATACTCATTCTCCCTCCCTCTCTCTCAGTTCAAACCACAACATAATTTTAGAGATATCCAACAATAGTGAGGCATTCATAATTGTTGCACTGGAACTTATTAGTTTGGGGCATTATTTTATGCATATATGCTAAATATGGATGCACGACATGCACGTATACACACAAACATACATAGTTACATACTTTAAGGCATAGCAATTAATAGTGTGCTTTAAATCATGTTATTCTCACATGATGTTTATAACAATCCTGTCATATTTTCCCCATTACTTATAAAGAAATTGTGGCAAAATAAACAAACCTCATAAGGGAAAGAGTAGAAAATCAAGATCACATCTTCTTGGGTATAAACACTGCTCTCTGGTCATGCACTTTTTGCACCTGTGCTGTTGAACTCTTAAGTTTCTGAAAACAGGTTCTGCTAGATTAGGAGCCATTGATGGTAGGGATCCCTTTTCATCTCTGGAGCATCACAAAACACCCAGAACATGCTAGAAGCTTAGTGAGTATTTTTTGGGTGAGTGATTATATTAATGTAATTGTCTGCAATTTAGACTATGACTTGGGAACCCTAATCATTGCTATCTTTTTGGAATTAGAAAATAGAATTCTTCATTGGTGACTTGAGATCAGGTTCTTACTGAAAGAAAAGGTTATGACTATGATCCCTCCACTGAAGTCCTTGGCTAGCATTTCCAAACACCTCATGCATTTATGACCAGAGCACAATATGGAAATGGACAGTTAATCAGGGATGCTCTAAGAAAACACACACACTACCTGAAACAAGCCTTGGAAGTAATCATCTTTTTAAAAACATGGTGAAATTTGTTGCTAGAGTTTCTTTTTGATAAAAATACAAATTATATTGCTTTATTGTCTGCTTTCTGATCTCTCATAATTCTAGATTCTCTGTTTCTTGCTCCCTTTTTCTTAGAGCTCAGTTTTTTCTTACATTTTCTTTTAGCCAAAACCTCATAACAACTTCTTGTTCATTCAGATAATTAAAATGTCCCTTGATAGTCACCATATTTAATATTATCTGTTTGCAGTAGTCAATGGTCACACAAGTAGAAAAGTTATAAGCACCTAGAGTAATCAATAATTGTATGAATACTAAGAGTATGTTTTTGTTTGGGGACTAGAGAAATATGTTTACAAAAAACCAGTTTCTACATAAACTGCAGTCAGTATTGTTGACTAAATAATAATGTCAGTGTTGTCTAGCCATTGGTTAATTGATGTGAGTGAGGAAAAATATCCTGGTGGATAAAGATAACATATCTTAGGATTGTGATTAGTTGTCTGCATTTTAATATCAGTTTCTGAAAAATAAGAATATTTTCTGTACATCAGTTGATTTTTTTCAATTAAATGTTTTACTTCTCTTTTTTCATAGAAATTAGAGTGGTAACATGTGATTAAGAGTTTCTTATTAAAAGCATCTTTGTCATAATTGCTATAGTTCTGTAATGGATCCCCTGTGTTGATAACTGTATTAGATAAGATGATTTTCAGTCATTTATGTCCATCATTGATTAACAACCACAAGTCTCCATGTTTAACAATCTGTCATCTACTACAGTGAGTAGGGACTATTAAAGCTTCCTTAATGTAAAAATGTGGCATTATTTATATAATTAAATCCTCATAGCAATGCAATATGGTAAGAATATATTGCTGTTCACAAATAAAGGAAACTCAGTCTCAGAAGTTCATGAATTTGTTCCAAATTAACTCCTTCCCAGAAGAGTCTGAAATATAACTCTGCTTTTTCTGGCTTTAAAACAATAAGGAATAAAAAAAAAAGCATTTTCAAAGCATTTGAAGTTAAAAAAACAAAAGATGCTTGTGTTTTCATTAGACCCAGAAGAATAGTTTTAGGCTGAATTATTATATACTAAATACATTTAAAGTTCTAATTGTGCCCTGTGAAGTAATTTCCTTTTATTTAACCAGGATAACATCAGGCTTCGATCGAGCCCATCATTCTCTAGTCTCCATTATCAGGATGCTGGGAACTATGTGTGTGAGACTGCTTTGCAAGAGGTTGAGGGACTAAAGAAGAGAGAGTCATTGACTCTCATTGTAGAAGGTAGTAGAATGCTTTGGCACTAATTCAATTTTTTCTTTAAGAATTTGATGTCTGGTCTCTTTACTATCTCAGTTCATTGCAATATTTTAATTATAATGATATTTTAGGTAAACCTCAAATCAAAATGACAAAGAAAACTGATCCCAGTGGATTGTCTAAAACAATCATCTGCCACGTGGAAGGCTTTCCAAAGCCAGCTATACAGTGGACGATTACCGGCAGTGGAAGTGTCATAAACCAAGCAAGTATTTGTCTTCTTGTTGTATGGTCCCTTTGCCCGAAGAGGAGTCTTATTTAGGTACCAAAAGTGCACACTGGTTTGCTAGAACATGAACATTTTCAGTGTACACTCAGAGAAAGCTCTTGATACCTTAATTTTCCCAAAGGAAGACTATGGGTCTAATTTTAAAATCCCAGGGCCATGGAGAATGGAAGGACTATTATGTCATGTTCTGTTTTTTAAAAAGAATTCAAATTGGATGTTGCTCCACAGTGATTAATTTCTGAAACTTTGGTGGTTAAAATATTAAGATATAAATATTTCTGCATCATGAACTTATACATATGAGTACAAGTAGCCTTCATTATTTGCTTACTTATGCATGTTAAAGGTTATTTCTTCTTAGAACTGGGCTCTAAGGGTGGTGATGAATATAGTCACTACTTGTGAAAATATGATCTGATTAGCCTGTGAAGGACTAAGGCCAGAATAATGCAAGCAACATATAGTCTAGGCTGTGCCCTTTGGGACCAAATAGGACATAAACCAACTTTAATATTTGGACCCTTTGTAGGAAGTTTTAGTAATACTGAAGAGCTAAGAACTTGTGAACACTACCAGTAGTTTTCTCTTAAAAGTAAATCTTTGATCAGAAAAAAAAATATTTTAATTTGGCCTGTCACTGTGGATTCAGAACTGTAATCCCACTAAATTACCAATGTGCTTGGGATACTTACATACTTTTAATTCCATTTTGTATGTAACTCTAATGTCTCCTCATCTCATTAGAATGAGTGAAGGATTCTTCAGGAGTGCAGATTCTTCTGTCCTGCCTTCTTCCCAAATTTGGACCCAGTCAAAATTTGCAAAGACCTATGTAAAGCAAAAAGCTACAAAGTGATTTTAAGCATTTATCTTCACTTTTCCTTCTGTCCAGGGAAGTTGGACCACTGATTCAACTCATATAATTTTCAAAGCAGGGTGTATTTGGGACTTCACATATGGATAATATGTACAATTTGCATGAGTTCAGGTATGGACAACTTGAAAAGGAGTAGCCCCTTTTGAAGCAAATGCTTTGGACTGGGTTAGTTGTAAGAGACACATGAGTGAGAGGCCAGGCCAGAGGAGAGCAAAAAGGCAAGTGGTCTCTCAAGCCTGAGAAAATGCAGTTTTCTTTATTCAGTTTAAAGATCTGATTCACCTGAATTGTTGAAAAAGTACAAATCCACTTTTTAGCATCAAATGCTAAAAATGAAAGCAAACATTAGAAATGTTTCTTTCCTATTCTATTCCTTTTAGTCTCCACTTCAATTAAGTGATAAGTCCAAAAGAAAAGAACCATTAGGTACTAGTAATGCAGGCATAGAACATAGAAAACCAATCACACAATAAATAGCTGATGAATGAATGGATATAAAAATTGAAAAACAAACAAGTATACTTGGCAGAGTTTGAAGTAGCAAGCACAAAGACTGAGAAAGTCATGAAAAATCCTAGTAGGAAGTAGAAAAATGGCAGGTAAACTTGCTATGAGGATGAAAATAATAATGCCATTCTTCAACATCAAGGAGAAGGATTCATTCTGCCCCACACATGATATGTTATTTTTCTTGTTCTAAGTCTGTGCTGATCCATTCATAATCTTTTAGCTGTTACCACTTTGAACACATGATAAATCTACTCTTTTACAAGTAGGGGCTATCTATGCCCTTCTTCCACCCCACAAGGACTAGAGAATATCCCATTCCTAGCCTCAAGGACTTACAACTTGGTTCAGAGGAAACTATGGCTGGGCACAGTAGCTCATATCTGAAAATCCCATCTGCTTGGTGGGGATTAGATGGATCACAATTCAAGGCTAGCCAAGGCAAAAAAAGCTAAAAAGCTAGCCACCTCAACCAATATGAAGGTGGGTGTGATGGTATTTGCCTAGATTCCCAGCTACATGGGAGGCTTAAATAGGATGGCAGCCCAAAAAAGATTGGGCAAAACCACAAAACCCTATTCAGAAAAAATAATTAAAAGCAAAAAGGGCTTGGGGCATGGGTCAAATGGCAGAGCCCTTGTCTAGCAAGCATGAAGCCTTGATTTCAAATCCCAGTACTGTCAAAACAAGGAAGAAAAAGAAGGAGGAGGTGGAAGAAGAGGTAGAGGAAGAAGAAAGAAGAGGAGGAGGAGGAAAGGTGAAAGGGGAGGGGGAGAAGGAAGAAAAAGAAGACAAAGAAGGAGGAGGAAGAGGAGAAGAAGAAAAAAAAATGTCATACATGATGAAAATGCCATAACTGAGAAAGAAAAGGCTACAAGTACATATTTGGTTGAGTTATGTTGGATTTTGGAGTCAAGTCCTGAGGAGGGACAAACATGGGTCCTTTCTTATGTTTGAAGGCACTAAATGCAGTGACTCTCCTCATTTGCACCTCACAAAAATCAAATGGATGCAGCAGTCACTGAAGAAGAATCCAGTTTCCACACATAGCTCAGGAAAACTTGAGGGGAAATGGTTTTATTTACCCATGAACAAATTGTACAGATATATGCACTTTGATATAATGGGTTAAGATAAGAGAAATAATAATGCCAATAGTAAAGAACAGTGGTCAACTTCACAAGTAATTAAATTTAAAGTTTATTGAAGGAAATTACTAATTATCAATTACTCATTTTGAAACAAATCCCATCATGTCAAAGTGTTGACTAAAACTGAACATCAACTGAAGAAAAATTTGATTGATTTAATTATTAGAAGTCACAACAGAATTTTAAGCAGAAATCCCATTAGGCCTTATTAATCTTTTTCCTACATGTTTCAGGTATAAGTCTGTATGGTCTTACATATTCCTTTGAATACCAGACCACACCATGGACAACCACACTTATCCTGTTTCATCACTATTACTTTTCCCATGCCTTTAAACTATATTTCTCCTTCTAAACCCATCATCCTTCTTCTTTTTCCAGACAGAGGAGTCTCCTTATGTCAATGGCAGGTATTATAGTAAAATTATCATTTCCCCTGAAGAGAATGTTACATTAACTTGCACAGCAGAAAACCAGCTGGAGAGAACAGTAAACTCCTTGAATGTATCTGCTAGTGAGTATTTCATTTCTGGCATTAAAAAAAGTAAGAAAATTTGAAGTTATTCTTCATTAGTTTAAAAATCTTCAATTCCATCTTCCTGTACTACATTATGGTAAGTTTTATTTATTTATTTATTTTGCATTTGGTATCATCATCATAAGGTTTTTTTTTTTTTTCTTTTTTCCTGGTTTCCATTCTTGCACTATCCTTGTCTTGACAGTTTAAATCATTTCGCATCTATGGCTCAGAGAGCTATTCTATTACAGGAATAGTTCCCAAGAGCAATAGAGAATAAGAACTAAGTTTGCTCTTATCGAATCCGTATTTTCTGCTCAGAGTAGAGACTATTCAAAGATTATATTAAAACGTTTTGATAATAGTTTTAAATTCGGTAAATTTTAAATCCCCCTTATTCTCTTGCATTCCAATTCTTGGCAGTCTATTTATCCTGCCCATATTTTATACAGAAATGCTACAAGTTTACAATCATTAAGTAAATTAGTAACTAAAACTGCAAGTAGAATTCATAGAATCAAGTTTCAAAAATTACTCCCTTTTCTGTATCATTTTTTAATCACAGCCAAAAGCAGGTATAAGAAATTATCCCAGAGAAAATAAAAGAATCTGTCAATGCTGAAATCTAGGTAATATATTTCTACCAGTAGTAGTTTCTTCTGAAAGCAGTTGTGAATTAGTGTGAAATTACCCACATCTTCAATTCTGTTACTATTTCCAGTGCTGGTCTAGAGCAAGGCTGTTTTGGACAAGAAGCTAACTGATCTGCCAAACTTTTGTTCTTTATTCAGTTGAAATCCTGTGTGTGACGTTAGCAGGCTCATGAATTTAATGGCTAGGAATTACTGGGTGCCGAAAAAAAATAATTGTTTAACATAATGGTCCCTACTAAATTATATATATATATAACTGGATTATAAAGGCTGATGAATTAGCAGGAGAGAACTAAACAAATTTATCTCTAAAATAGAAGCATTGACTTCTCAGAATACAATTCTGCAAGTATTGATTTGTCTTACCTAGAAAAAGAACCCATCCTTTCTTGCTGAGCATAAGTCTTTTTTACTCTAACCCACTGAATGAAGTGCTTTGGTTCTCTGGATGATGCAATGGGCTTGATCAACACCTGACTTAGTCATTTTGAAACTCAATGAGTACCTCCTAAGATTCCAGTTTAGTATATATGAGGAGAGTGTGAGGATCAGAATTTATCAAACATCATGGGTGGTTCTGATGCAGTCCCATGCACTCTGAAGACAATTTACATAGTTAAATATTAGAAAACTATCCACAAGAGTAGTGGTTCTTAAAATGGACCAAGAGCATGGCACCTCTGAGGATCTTTTGGAGGGCTTTGGTCAACACCACATATGTTGCTGCTTAATCTCCAGAGCATCCTGAGTTTTGATATCCACCCTAAGCCCCACCTTGAGAACATCTCTAGTGGCACTACAGGATGAAAATGATTTCTCCTACCTGGATAGGAAAAATTGAGGAAACCTGAGAAACACAGTATCATAGACTTCATAGGTGCCAACTCATTTCTCCTAAAGAAAGAAAAGTGCTTCTAAAAGGTAGTAGACAGTGGGAAAATTAATAAGAATTTCAGGTTAATACTATAGAGCTTATAAGTAATAAAATTTTGTGTGGTAGACTAATATCTTTGCATTTTTAACTACTCTCCTTTCCTTAAAACAAGATTAATTTCTTTATAGGAGGCTCATGCTCTTTTAAGTATGAATTTTTTTTACCCTTAGCTGTAGAATAGATATTTTATCTGAGTTTTATTACATCATACTATAATGGTAAAGGTGACTTTCATATATCAACAAATTTTGTTTTTAATTTCATATTAACATTTTTCATTTCAGTAAGTATCCCAGAGCACGATGAGGCAGACGAGAGAAGTGGTAGGTACTGTGCTGCCGACTCTTCTTCCTTGACTGTCAGCTCAAGATTTACGAAGTGTCCTTATATAAGTAATTTTCTTACCTGTCCAAAATTTGACTTGAATTAAAATACCAAATGAGACAAGATAGTCAGAATTTTACCCTTTAAAATCACAAGTTTGCATGTCGATCATTATTAATAAGCAGTTATAACTAGATTGACTTAGCATTGTCTGTAATTGCATGGGTTTTTCTTCTTTGTCATAGATGAAAACAGAGAAAAGGTGAACGACCAGGCAAAGCTCATTGTGGGAATTGTTGTTGGTCTCCTCCTTGCTGCTCTGGTTGCTGGTGTCGTCTACTGGCTGTACATGAAAAAATCAAAGTAAGTTGTGGAACAAGATCACCATTGTTCATTGACTTTAATTGGGAGGAAATGCAATGTAATGACTGTGCTCCCTCCAGCTGTGTGTGTAATTTATATAATAAGACAGACATACTCCCCAAATCAGGCTGATTATAGTTTGGTTTAGCTCACAGTGGCTACATTGCCAACATCAGGCACGTGGCTTTGGGTGTGATTTTACAGTGTCCTTTTACTTTTCGTAGTATTCTGAACTCAAGTATTTGATTTTCTTCAGTGCCTGAGTAGATAGTTTAAAAGCATATGTTTCCTGAAGATCTACCATTCTAAACTTACAGCTTGGGGTTAGGAAGATTAATTTTCAAAGCTTGTACATATTTGACGAACTGTTAGGTGGTTTTGCAGTGGCAAGTCTGTCTAGTAATGAAACTGCAAACTACTGACGTGATGGTGTAATGTCTCATTGTCATTACACCTCTACTCTAATTAGTTGACTTTAGTCCATCTAAAAACCTAATTTAGAAAAAAAAAGCATTATTTTGGCTTTAACTTAAATTTGATTACACAAAGTAATGAAAGTATGTTTAAAGTGTTTTAGATAATGTTAGATTAAAAATGATTAGAGTCTGCAAAAAAAAAGAAGGAAGGAAGGGAGGGAGGGAGGGAGGGAGGAAGGAAGGCATTTGGGCTTGTGGCATGGATCAAGTGGTAGAACACCTGCCTAGCAAGCATGAAGCCCTGAGTTCAAACAGTAGTACCAAAAAAGAAGTTGGAATCATAAAATATTGCATATAGTATGAGCCTTAAGGATCATTTAACAGGTTTATAATGAAAGTCCACATGAATAATGAACATTGTTAGTATACAATGTCTAGTAGCTCTTCACCCTGAATTCAGAGGGGACTGGGCAAGGATGAGGCTACAGCATCTACATTTTTTAAAAGTCCATTGGTGATTCTTAGCATATTCCTGATTTCAAACATGTGTTTTAAATCCTCCAGCTTATAAATGGGGAAATTAATTTTTGCAATGGGATATCTATAACTAGTAGCAATTTTGGACATAATTTTGTATTTTCTTTATATCTGATAGAGTCTCTGAAATTTTCAGAAAATCTAACATAGAGAAAATCAAAAGACAAAACAGACTCTAATCAGAACCCATGATCTCATCCTGTAAAGATGTCAATTTCACTCATGGAATATTTGATTGGAATTGCCATGCAAGAGAGGCATAGCTGAAGTTTTAAAATCTCATAAAAACATGAGCATGTACTGAGCTTTTTTATTCTCATGGCACATCTACAAAATAGTTACCATTATTCATGCTTTGTATTTGAAAATATAAGGTAGATTGTTGAGAAACTTATGGCTATGCAGATCACAATGCATAGAATTGTTTGATTTAAAAAATGATGTGCTACAATCTTAGCTTAATCTCTAGGTCTTATTTTATTTTTAAGCCCTTTTATTAGTATATGATAGTTATACAGGGGATTTCATTGTGACGTTTCCATATATACATAGATTGTACCCTGCTTTTGTTCATACCCTCCCTTAATCTCTTTTCCTACACTCAGCTTCTTAAAATGACTTTAACAGGTTTAAATGTTCTCTATTTATGCATATATAGAAAGTACATCAACTATATTTATCCTCCTTTACCCTCTTCATTTATATTCCCAGTCCCTTATTAACCACACCCCCCACGCTTAATATGACCTTTTACATTCCTTGTCCTTCGTTGCTTAAATGACTTTTCATTGTTCAATGGGGTTCTGACTTGGTATTTTACCTGTAAATATATTGTAACTTAATCAGTCTATCCCCTTTCATTTCTATTCCTTCCCCCTTCCCCACCCCATTCTGTATCATTCAACAGTTTTCAGTGTTTCATTGTATCTTGTTCCTATACAGATGTAATGTACTTCATTATTATTCACTCTCTATCATTCTCTTCTCTGTTCCCTCCTCTCTTAGTTTCCTTTGTTTTTGAAGACATGTTCTGTATATATATGTGTATTTATGTATGTGTGTGTATATATATGTATATATGATGCTTGTATTTGTATTTGTATTTGTATCTATCTTCTACAAAAGAGAAAACATTCGACATTTGTCTTTCCGAAACTGGATAGCTTCACTTAACATGATGATCCCCAGTTCCATGCATTTACCTGCAAATGAAAAAGTTTCATTCTCTTTATGGCTAAATAACATTTCATTTTCTTAATCCATTCATCAGTTGTAAGGCATCTGGGCTGTTACCATAGTTTGGCTATTGTGAATAATGCTGCAATAAACAAGGGTGTGCAAGAGTTTTTATTATTTCCCAACCTGTATTTCTTTGGATATAGGAATGTATTGCTAGATCATATGGTAGTTCTAGTTTTAGCTTTTTTGAAGAGACTTCACATTGCTTTTCATTGTGGTTATACTAACTTACATTCCCACGAACGGTTTACGAGTGTTTCTTTTTCTTCACATCCTCACTGTTTCTTGTTGTTTGTGTTCTTGATGATAGCCATTCTAACAGGAGTGAGGTGGAATCTTATCATGCTTTTGATTTGCATTTCTTTTACAGCCAGGGATGCTGAGCATTTCTTCATGTGATTTTTGGCCATTTGGATTTCTTCCTTTGAAAAAGCTCTATTCAGTTCATTTGCCCAATTCTTCATTGGGTCATTGATTTTTGGGGAGTTAGTTTTTTGAACTCCCTGTATATTCTGGTTACTAATCCCTTATCAGATGTATAGCTGGAAAAGATTTTCTCCCATTCTGAAGGCTGCCCTTTCTGTCTGGTGACCATTTCCTTTTCTGTGCAGAAGCTTTTTAGGTTCATGAAGTCCCATTTGTTAATCTTTTGTCTTAATTTCTGAGCCATTGGAGTTCTATTTAATAATATATTGACTATGCTTGTATGTTCCAGTGTACTTCTTATTCTTTCCTGCAGTAGTTTCAAGGTGTGTTAGGCCTTATTTTATACCACAATGCCTTACTTTCTATCTATCCTTTTTCCATAAGTCAAAAACTTATTTTCTGTTGTTTTTGATGTACATGATGTCTGTTCCCACACTGGGGCCTAGTCACTCTTGATCTTGGCATTTCATTCCTCTTTATTGAGCACTCCTCACCAATACCTAATGTATTACTCAGGGTTATCCAGAGAATCAGGGTGACTGTGTGTCTTTGTGTGTAAGAAAAGAGAGAGAGAGAGAGAATAAAGTTTATCATAAGGAATTGCCTCACATATTATGGAGTTTGCAGCCTCAAGATCTGTAGGAGGATGCTAGAAGTCCTCCTACATAAGCAGATATGCAGTTCTAGTCCAAAAGTCTGAAAATCAGAAAAATTAATGTTGTAAGTTCCCATATTAAATCAAGCAAGGTGAAGACTTGGGAAGAAGAAAAAAAATGCCCAGATTGAGTGGTGAAGCAGAAGTTCTTTTTTTTTCTCTAAGTCCTTTCATCCTAGTCTCTTTAACTGATTGAAAGAGGCACTCATACACATAAGAGAAGGCACTTCTTTTACCCAGTCTATGGATTGACATGTTTATCTCATGCAAAATTAACTCCACAGACACAGCCAGAATAATGTTTAACCAAATGTCTGGGCACCACATAGCCTAATCAAATTGACACGTAAAGTTAACCGTCACACTTTTTAACAAACATCTTTTCTCCATGAACATTTTACCTACAAATATATTACATGGGTTTGTGCCCATGGTGTCCATGGAAAATTTAAAGGACTGAAAGGAAATACAACTAGTTTTCCAGAGGAAGTAGGTACTCCAATATCAATATCTTATAGAATTCTCCCTCTATGTGTACAAGTTTCCTGAAGATAAAAATCTTATCATCCCTTTATCATCCATGATAAGACATGAATGTAACACCTTGAAGTCTAAGATGTTTTCATTTTAGTATGATTTCTGATATATGTCAACAAAAATTTTTTTCTTAAAAGGATAAAAGTAAAATTTCTATGTCCTAAAAATGAGTTGGAAAATAGAAAATGGTCCTTGCATTGAGGTGAATGTGAATTCTTGAAGCACCTCCAGCATCTTAAACATCTCATTCTGATGAATAGTATATCATTAGACATATTTGTCCTATAAATAGAAGATAACTGTGTGTGTATTACTTCATTAGTTGTTAACATATGGTGACCCAAAATTAAAACCATAGATAAATAAATTCTGGACATTTAGCTTCTTTGTGTCATTAGGCTGAGGTGTCAAGTATTTCCTTTAAAGTGTCTCATTAAATTAAGTGCATCTTTTACCATCTGACTTCAACATTCATTTAAATAACTGTCATTTAATTGAAAAGGGCACTACATTTGATAGTTAATATTATTGATAATCAAAGTAATAAATTGCATTTCTCATCCCAATCACCAAAGGGTTTTATTAATATTGTGTGGAATGCTTCAGATTTGCTGAGTGCTTTGCAATCCTGATTACTTATTCCTTTGCTATATCCTCTGAAGTAAGCTGGTATCTTTGCAATATGACTTAGTGCTCTTAACCACTTAAGCCATTGTCCAAAGTGCAGATTCATATTCAGAGTTTTCATGTTCAGAACTCCTAGGACTATATTTTGTGATATAGCTGACAATGCAGTAGAGTTTTAGCAACATTTAGAGAAAGCTCTTGGCATTGCTAATTACAAAAATATTGGAAAAGAGAGAAACAATCTTTTATTTCTAAGTAGTATTTAAAAATACATTTGTTTGCAGACATAGTGACTACTCAGCTAACATGCATTCCTCATTGCACTAATAGGAACCACATGTTTGAAATAGACTTCCAACATGGAAACAGTTGTAAAAACTATTCAGCAGTTGTGCTCTTTTCTCACTGTGATAAGGTGTATTCATTGAAAGAGGACCCATGGTATGCTGTTTTAATATAGATGCTTGTGGAATTTTTTTTAAGCTGATGATAAATTTTGATAATGATAATGTATAATTGATTCCTTCCGATGTATGTAAGGTACAAACTGACAGCATCAGGCA